AATATACACGTGCTTTTGGTTTACGCCTGGATCGTGAAAAAAACGTGCCTATATAGGTTTTATTTCCGAAAAAAAAACTAGATGTGCCGATAGGGAAGATGAACAAATAAAATAATTAATTCATTGAGTTACTGTAGAAATTCAATTAGCTAGATAAAAATTTAATAAAACGTTAAATTACTTTGTGAGGAGGAAGCGGAACTGCTTCACAACACTGCTGATGATGTTTTAGTAAATGGGGTTTAAAATTTTAATTAGTATTTAAAACAGAAAAAAGTAACTCTAAGTATAACGAGTTGGTAAGAATGGCTGCAGCAAAAATAATTGAAGTTAGTAAACCAATTTCTAAGAACTTAAAACTTTTTTTTCTTGGGAGAAAGAATCAGTTATCGGGTACACTGAAGAAAATGGATTAGCGGTTAAAATTATTTGTATTAACTTTGATTATTATTATTAATTTTATTAAAAACGCAGTTATTATTGAAAGTATTTTTGTTTACAAAATCAATCGCACATATTGCTATAAAAGATTACATTTGAATAAAATACACATACATAAAACTACATACATAAAAAATACATACATAAAAATACTTTACATACATAAAAAATACATCCCTTATATGTAAAAAATTAGAATATACTTATAAAATCTATAATATATTTACAAAACGTTGACAAGTTAAAAAAATATAAATTTAAAACATTTATTATTGTAAACAAATAATGTTAGTTAAAAACATTTATAGCTTTGTAGATGTGGCTCCAAGAATTAAAATAATAGTTCATTTGATAGTATATTCTTAAAATAATTTATGCTAGAAATCTCAACAAAAACGTAACAAAACTCAAATAATACAATTTTTTCAAATATTTCAACAGAATAATTAGGACATTCGGTTAGTATTTTTTGAATACTCTAGAAAATTCGGTTAATATTTTTTGAACCAATAGAATTAGTTGTTCGTAGATTTGGCGGGTTTTTTGTGTTCGCGACTAATTTTTCCGTATTAAGATGCTTGAAAACATTCAAGTTTATGCACGTTTCCATGTAAGTCCGTAAAACAAAATATTTTAAAATTTACGATAAAATGAACTTATTTTTTGCGGACAAACAAGGAAACATACAAAAACTTAAATATTCTCAAAACGACTAAAAAATCTGGCCGGTTTTTCGCAACTAAATATTATTTCCGTGGTCAGTTATCGAAAGTGATCGCACCCGCTTCCCGACCAACCCTGTAATACTGTTTTCTTTTTTAAATCAATGAGTAGCTAACTTCAATAATAGTTTTTAATTTACCTACTGTTTAAAGATGAGTTTATAAGAGAAGCCTAAAATTTTGGCACTTGATCTAAGTTTTTGTTTCATAATATCAGTATAAATCTTTTTCGTCGTTGAACTCAATCAATCAATCAATATATATTTCGTCAATGAACAAAAAAGAAAATAAAATTTTACAATGTACTTGTAAAATAAAAATAAAATAAAATATATTTTTTAAATTCTGACAGGAGCAAGCAGAAGACAATACATCTTATCATCTTGTCCCTTTGATAGTAAAATAGTTAACTTTATTTACATGATTAAGTTCGTAAAATCTATAATTATAAAATTAGTTTATTATAAAATTACATATTTTTGAGTTAAACATACATATTCGTATTAGTAAATACATAAAAATACGACTTAAAAATACAAAAAAATATTTTTATTGGTTAGATTTAACAAATGTTGTTTCACAGTTTTTTTAAATGCTTTAATTGAGGCTATAGATTTTATGTCATTATTCAGGATTGAGTTCCACAGACGTGGACCCCGACAAGTAATAGAGTAGTCCGATTTTTTAAGAGTTGTTGATGGTATGTAAAAATTGTCAATAGAATATCTTGTTAAGTATCTGTGATTAACTAAAGAGAAATGTGGCTGAAAATATGAGGGAAGCATGTTATTGTGAAGTTTAAACATAAACAATAAATTTTGATAAATGTTTAGTTCGAATACCTTCAGAGCTTTAATTTCTTTTAGTAAAGGCTTGGCGTGTGCATATCTGTCTGCATTAAAAATTAAACGAGTCGCTTGTTTTTGTTTGCTATAAATTTTTTTTAATAAAGACGAGTGATTACTTGCCCAAGCTATATTAACAATAACTAATATAGCTATGTATAAATGAAAAATATTAATTTTTGAGGCACATATTATTCAAAAGGTGCCTCATTTTGAACATGATTCAAATCCAACTAAGTTGGATTTGAGCTTTTTTAACATCGTTCCGAACAAAGGAACATAAAACCATTATTTGCCCTATGGTAAAAAATAGAAAATAAAATTAAAATATTTAGAATACTGTAACATTATAATAAAGGTTCATGGTACTCCTTCTATGTTTGACATGTATATAGGATTTAAGCGTTAACCTTTTTTTTCCATTTGCATGCGATACCATTAAAATACAATATATCATATACAAACACATTTTTGCTTCATCTGGCTCATCACCATTAATAGAGAGTCAGTTGTAAATGTTTCTTAGCTCAATGTAATATTTTCGTTTAACTCTTTTTACTCAAGTAGGGCTTTTTTGGGGCACCTCCATCTGTAGCATCTTGATTTTTCAAACTATTGCGAACAGTTTAAAGATTTAAAGTTGTATCATTATTTATTTGTAAATTTTTTGCTAGCTTTGATGGCAGATTTTCTTGGTTTGTTGAGCAGCTGTAGCGTAGTGGTCCGCGCGTTTGCCTCAAAAGCTAGAGATTCGTGCTTCAACGCCACTTCTGGGCAAGTTTTATAACATCGGTAAGGAAGCATGAGTGAACTTCTTTTCAAATGTTCTTCCGTGTGCTTTGTGAGAACTTCTTGGAGCTCCTTAAATAAAAATAAGAACAATTTTATTCAAAGCGTATAGGCTTAACTGGACATTTCGCTCTTTGCAAACTATTGATGATAAATTTTATTTTCTAATGGTGTTTCCAACTATTAGATTTAGCATTTATTTTTTTTAGTAATAGTTTTAAAAATCTTTACGTATTTCACGATAAATTTTTTTATTGATTCCTAAACTTCGTGTCTTTTCACCATAATTTTATTATTAGGAGATTATAAAAAAAACTTTTCTTACGAAAAAATTAGTTTGAATAACATTAATTAATCCAATTTGTTTATTTACATTTTTTTCCTTTAACTTTACCAACTCGTTCAAATGGAAAATTAAAAAAGACAGTTTAAATTTAAGTACAATAAATAGCTTTCTTTTGAAAAACCATTAGGGGGTAATAGACTTTTTTGACATTGTATGTTGTAATTGATAACAATTTCATGTTGGATGTCATACTTTTTTTGGTGTAAGCTAGTTAAGCTCTGCACAATTGTTTGCTCAACCGGTATTAGTGATTAAGTTGGTATATAAAGATCAAATTTTATAAAAAATTTTATTATCTAATTTAAAGCCTAAACCCTTCATTTTAGAGAACAAGTTAAACAATTTGCAATAGATTTGGGTTTAGCTGAAGAAAAGTCTGAGTTGTTTGGCTCTAAGCTAAAGGAAAAATAAATGTTAGCTGATCAAACATCAGTTTATGAATATCAAGAAATCAGAAGTTTTTAAAAAAGAAGATGATTTGGTGTACTGCCATGATTGTAAATGAATTTAGAGTTAAGTACACGAATAGAAAACGGAAACATTGTAAAGATTTATTTTTATATTATCAAAAACAACAAATAGTTTTTAGCTGTTCTTTTACAAAATGATCATCTTCATTAATGAAGATAATCATTTTGTAAAATTCTTTGAAACAAAAATGACTAGAAACAAAAGAAAGGTTTGGATACTATTTAGGCAAATTGTTACTCAATTTTTAGAAAATGGTAAAGATATATATTAAATGAAACCATTGTTGTCAATATGAAGACAAGTTAAAAAATCTTAGATGTCTGATGAACTTTAAAATCTACTTCAAAAATAAACATTTTAATTTTTTCTCCGATAATCTGGGTAATGTGAGAGAAAAGCTACAAGTTTTTCTAGGGTATTAAAGTAATGGGAAACTTTATCAGGAATTATAGAATGTAAACAGTGTGGAGAAATATCTCTGGTCACTTATATGAGAACAACTAAATACATCACATTAAAGAAAAAAAACTACATAAGAGGATTCTGCAGAAAGAGAAAAATAAATAAAAGAAAATAAAAATTTATTTTCTTGTTTTAAATTGATCCATGGCGAGTTAAGCTTTGAACGTTTTTAATAAGTTAAATTTTGTTGGCTTTAAAGACGGATCATAGGGCGGAGGAAGGAAGGAGGAGAAAAGAGGGGAAACGGAGGGGGGAGGAAGCAGTGATAGAGATGATTCCCCCCCCCCCCCCAACCTTAGATACTTCGGGAAGAATTTTTTGTAAACTTATATATTTAGCAAAGAAAGTTGTTTAAAAACGGAAGTAAATTACGGAGGATGATTAAATATAATATAAATAAATGGGTTGTTGGGATATCAATATATGACGTAATTTCATAGTTTTTTTTTGTCTTTTTTAGATGCTCCCAGAAGTCCTTACGGTCTTATCACGTAGCACCGCAATAGAGCATGTAATTAGAAGTTCACACCTCCTTCCTTACCAATGTCGCTTATTAGGCTAGAACCTCGGACCTCTGAGTTCTGAGCCAGAACTCTAACCACTGCGCCACGGCTGTTAGATTTAAACAGTGAAAGAGAAATTACAAAAAAAATTAACTAAAAAAGAGTTATAGTTTATGGGCTTGTCTGCTCACAAATCATTAAACGTACAAATGAACAAAACTTAGGGTAAAAATTTTTGAAACATTTCAGTTAAATGCATTCAACCCTTTAAACTACCGTTTCCAGGGGGGCGTTTATTAACACTAACAATAATAAAATAAATAATAAAATAACATTAGTAAATAAAGTCATATTTTATTAATCAAATTAATATTATTATTTTTTATTCCAATTATTAAGTTTAACAAAATAAAAAAAAATGTTTTCGAATAAATTTTTTAAGTTTATTTTAGGAAAAAATTGGATACACAAAAAGTTGATAAACAATAAATTCGAAGAGCACGGATTGTTGCTTTATTGTACACCTGGAGAGTCCATTAAAGGTCATAAAGAAGGGTTGGAGCCCGAGTGTAACTTATTTTCATTACACATAGATTACAAAGACAGCTTTCTTCCAAGTTGGTATTTAGTAATAAAAATATTATTCCTCGTAAACGTTTAGTGTCAAAGTATTTTTATTTATTGTTTAAAAAAAAATTTTTTTTTTTAGATTGGCAGCAATCAGTATTTGTTTTATCTGTTACGGCATCTATATTGACGCTGCTCTCAACATTATTGTTCATGGGTTCGCAATTTATCAAACCTTTTACATATTGCAGTACAGTTCTTGTGTTTATACTTTCCACTTTATCCAGTAAGTAATAAATACCTTTTTAAGATATAATTGGGAACATGAAATTTGTAATTAAGAAACGTAATTTGTAGTTAAAGTTTCACCAACTCTAAACAAAAAAAGTAAAGTAAAATTTTAAAGATGCTATATGTAATTAGTGACTCAGAAGATGTAATAATTAATTAAATGATGTGGGTAAGCTGATTAATTAAAGCTGATTAATTAAATGATGTGGGTAAGCTGCGTAATAATTTTAACCAGTATCTATATACATAATCACACGTGCTAACATAAACACTAATTATAATAAAATAAAAATATCATTAAAAAACATTTTACGTTTGACCATGTGGAAATATCTGATTGGGTGTTAGTTGGAGTCATCATTTTTTATAGTTTCAATTGAGAGCTTAGGTAATTAATTAGGTAATTCCTTTATAAGAGGTGACCCGAAAAACATACAACAAATAATGAAGGAGACATGAATTGAAGAGCTTAGTATTAAGAGTACTTAACTCACAAAGTAAATGTTTTAAGAAAATCTACTTTAATAAGAGTTATAACATTTTAAAATTAGGATATAATATTGGCTGATCAAAGTAGATTTTCTCAAAACATTTATTTTGTGACTAAAGCACTTTTAACACTAAGCTCTTTAATTAGTCTACAACAAATTTATTAGAAATTAAGTTTAAATAATGCCATTAAAAATCATAGCAATATTCAGTTAAACGCATACTTGGATGTCTTCCATAAGTGGTTCATACACCCAAAAATAATTTGCAAGAAATCTAACTATTTTACGTGGTGACTTCTGTTAACCTTAATAAATCAACAAACAATTTAAAGCAAAATAAAAAAAAAAGGTGAAATTAGCTATTATTAACTAGCTTCATGAGCTTGAAATACTTGAAATTTTCCATAATGATCTAATTTTTTTAAAAATCTGACGAGATTGACCAGAATCATCTATTTTACAGACTGAGGGTTTGCACTTATTTACTTACTTTTGGAAAATAAAATTTGAGTTTATATTTTAATTACACCATGTAAATATGCATAAACAAATCAAATAATAAATTTTGAAACTATTGCTTAATTTACCGACCGATCAGTAAATTAATGGTAAGGGCATTAAAATCTGTCGGAATAATTCAGAATGACCTATTCAACTGACAGAAAATTCTTTAATACAGTAAAAATTTAATTTTTATTGAAAATAACTTACAGCAAATGAACTTTCTGAAGTTTGGTGTACTTACTACAGCAATAGGCAGGTATAACACCAAAAACACTACCTAAATATGTAAAAAAAAAATTATTAGAAACACAGATACACAATATGTTTAAAATATTTTGATACTTCGGTTTAAAAATTATAAATTAAACAAATTTAAAACTAGATAAGTATAAAAAAAAACTTACTCTTTGAGATTGCTTATGTAAAATTTTACCAGTACCAACTCCTACTCCGAGTCCAGTAGTTGAAATTTTCAGAATATGACTTCGACTCCAACTCAGACTCCGAAGCAAAAATTTTGAAAATTACACAATAATTACAAAAAAATTTTTTTGCCAAATGAAAAATTCTTTGAAATTTAAATATTTTGCACATACACGCACAATACCAAGAAGTTTTACTATTGGATTCGTATTCGCAATTTTGTTTAGCGACTCCGACTCCGCTACAAATGTCGGAACTCCGACTCCGACTCCACAGCCCTGCACCTATGATAAAAAAAATGAAAATAACATAAAAAAATGTTTTTATTTTAAAACTTATTTCTTGGCTTTTAGTAAATGATTAGAAGTAGCATGTTTTAGTAACGAAACAACCTAATAATCATTTATAAGGTTCTACATACTATTAAATAGAGGTGGTGAGGTTCTAGATTCTATTGCTCTGGATATCAAAGGCTTTCAATAAAGTCTGCCATGATGGACTTACCTATAATTTCTCTTAATATGTTGTATCTGGCAAAGTCTTTTCAATGTCTCCGTAATGCTATTGATATTTCTAAATTGATAAATAGCAACACTGTTAATATGTCTTCTACATTGTCTCGGATTATCTCTTCTTAATGATCTC